TACCATAGACCATTCCTACTGAAAGAGAAAAATATCTTGGTCAGGTAATTTAAAACAAGAGACATGTACTTTCTCACAGTTCTGAAGGCTGGGAAGTCCAAGGTAAAGGCACTGGCAATCTTTTCATCCCGTGAGGGCTGCTCCAGCTTCCAAGATGGTGGCTTGTGGCTGTGTCCTCACATGGTGGAGGTGGAAGGGAAAAAGAGACAAACTCTGTGTGAAGCTACTTTTATTGCGTGTTCATCCCATTCACAGGGGTGGAACCATCATGAATAATCAGCTCCCAAAAGCCCCACTTTCTAATATTGTGGCATGGGGTAAACAGGAATCTTGGATGAGATGTGGACGTTCAGGCCAAAGCAGTAAACAGTAGAGAAATATATAATAAGTAACGGTATTGGATCAATAAGATATCTATATTACATAAAAATGAATATGACCTTTACATTTCACCTCTATATTACATAAATATCAACTCTAAATGAATCATAAACGATAATAAAAAGGCAAAATCATAAAGCTTTTAGTAAAGAGCATAAAAATATATATCAAAAACAAGTGCAGAAAGAAATTTCTTACAGAGGACACACAAAGCACCAGGCACAAAGACAAAGATTCATAAATTAGGTTTTATTTGTATGAATTACCTTTTATAGGGTTTTAAGCAAATAAATTAAAAATATTATTTGATGAATACATATAGAAGAAATTAACTACAGAGAGGAAAATCTAATTATAAAGAATACGAGATTCAGAATTCTGATGAACTGTAGGGGGAGATAGGCATATGACATCATGGAAACCTCATTCAGAGATACCCTATTAGACGAACCTGTAGGTTATATCTTGAAGGATATAACTGGCATCAGTCACTCTTGTGGCCCAAACAACTCATATCCCTCTTACATGTTAAATGCTCTAATTCTCACTCTATCAAGCCTAGGTATTATTCCATAATAGTGTCAGGGCAAAGTTCAAAATATCATCATCAAAATGATGTCCTGGGGAACTGATGTCAGCAAGATAGCAGAGTAAGGGTTACCAGGCTTCACCCCTCACAAAACCCAGCAATTTGACAATTATTCAAGGAGGCCAATACCCTGGAAGGGCTGAAGAGTTCAATTCCAAACATGTAGCAACAGGATAGAGTAAAAAGCTAAGAATAAGCACACGCAAAGGATGGCTGGAAGCTGATGGCACACCTGGGAGCCCCGATACCTCTAGGAACAAAGAAAGGGGAAGCAATTGCTATCAGCCGGCAGTGGTGTCACTGTGGGCCCCATAGCCTGCGCTGTGAGAGGACCCTGTAGCCTTTGCTGCTGATAACCTCAACAGCCACCCAGGCAATCCCCCACCATTCAGCTTTCCAAGTAGAGGTCCTTGAATGTTTCTTGTCCAGGATCACAGCAGCCTGTTCTACAGGGTCACTGGTGCTTTTGCCTGGGCGGTAACCTGCGGCCATAGTCACGCACACCCCAGAGAGGGAGATGCTCCTATATGCACTCTCCAGTAAGGAGCCATTGTTATCTCTCCTGTGACAGGGCTACCTCCCAGCCCCTTGGCACCAACCTTGCCCTCTGCGCTGCCCCAGAACCAAGCCTCAGGGTCTCACCCCGCACTGGCAACTCAGACACTAAGCCCCGTCTATGTGGACTAGCTCATGCCTAGCCCCAGACCCACTGTCACTGCAAGGGTACCCTCACTCCAGACCTCGTCACTGTGGCTGCTCTGGAAATTGCCAAAGACATCAAATAAATTGAGACGTGGTTATGGGCACACCTCAGAGATATTGCTGGTCTAGTTTCCAATCACTTCAATAAAATGAATATCATCATAAAAGGAATGACACGCATTTATGGTTTTCCAGTGCATATAAAAGTTATGTTGACACTATCTTGTAGTCGACGAAATGTACAATATTATTATGCCTAAAAAATGCACATATCTCAATTTTTTAAAAAACATTACTGAACAATAGTGACATAGAGACAGGAAGTAAGCACCTACCACTGGAAAAATGGCACTAAAAGACTTGCCTGAGGCAGAGTTGCCACAAATTGTCAATTAGTAAAAATCACAGTATCTATAAAGCACAATAAAGCAAAACACAATGAAAGGAGATATGGCTGTATCTTGAAAAAGGATGAGAGCTTTGGGTAAGGACAGTGTTAGGTTTTGAAGGGAAGGAAAGGGTTAAAGAAAGACAGCGAGAGAGTTGGTGGCTCTACAGCAAAGCAGGTTTTATGTCCAGCACAAGACTGTGGAGGTGGGGGACTAGCTTAATACCCACTGCTGCTTACAGGCTGGGGTACTTACAGGTATGGGCGGGAGGGTTCTGGGCAGTACGAGTTGCTGCCTGACAGGACGTTAATAAGATATTCCTGTGGTCAGGCAGTTATGCCAAGGATATTCTTTGTACCCTTTGCCCAGCGGGGTGTGACAAGAATGTTTCTTGGGCAAACTGTCCAGCAGAAGACAAGAGGGATGTCCCTGTAGTCAGGTGGTTAGGCAGGATGTCTCTCACAGTCCCAACCCCCGTGGAATGTTTCACTTTGACCAAGGTCTACAAAATGGTGAGTGGCTTACAAAATGGTGCACTTCGGACTAACAGATAGGAAAAGTCTATGGCCTTTTGCCTGGAACTGCTTTTTTTCACCCAAACTTCATCAACAGGAATTTTAGAAGTCTAGTTTTACCAACTGAAATGGCAGCAACAAGTGGAAGCTTGTTGCCCAAGGGGATTGACTTGAGCTGGGATGGAGAGTAGGACAAGGTCTTTCAGTGTTTTCTGCTAATGGTGCTGAACTCTGCAGGGAATGCCCAGAAAAAGACCGGAGTTTTGCAAGTCCAAGGTGATGACCCTGGTTGGGGAGAGTGGTACACCAGTTACAACTTCATAATGGATTACTGGAAACCATGCAGTCATAGAATTGTAGAGATCATCCCTGCACACATTCTTAGAATGAGCAGATGTGACTTAGCAATTGCATATTTGAGCGAAGAGACCCAAGTGGGCCCAGTGTATAAAAATGAAGGTGGTGTCTTTTATGTTCCCACTTCAAGCCACACACATACACTTTGGCAGAGGGTAGATGATTGAGCTCAAGGAGTTTGAGCAACACAAATGCCCAAGTTACTGGTGATTACTAAACTATGCTGACATAGGTACGGCTAAAACTTAAAAGGAATAAAAGTAGAAATATCAATGGCCAAACAGCTAGTAAGGTATAGATTCTGCAGCATAAGTCCAGGCAACCTATTAAAAGGAAATTCAACACTCTTAGAAAAATAAAACAGAATCCAGAATTATGTATTAGTTGAGACATGTATAAAAATATATTATCTACAATGCTCATTTTTCCATAAAAATTCCTGAAAAGAAAGAGAAAGTCATAAACCATATTGAGATAAATCAGTGAGTGGAAGCTGACTCTGACTGTTCCTAAATACTGGATTTTGCTAAGAGTTTCAAGTGGTTGTCACATAAATGCTTCAAAGAATATTTAAAACTGTGATCAAGGAGTGAAAAAGAAAAATATAAAGATAATGACTGAAAGAATGTGGTCTCTCAATAGAGAAAGGGAAACTATGGAAAAGGACCAAATAAGAATTCTAGTTCAAAAATATAAAAACAGTGTGGAAAATTCACTGGATAGGGCAACAGGAGTTTAAGTTGGCAGGAGCATCAATGAAACTGAAGATAATTTAGTAGAAATTATCTAATCTGAAAAAGAAAGAAAATAAAGAAAAATAATCATGACTTTAGAGGTTTATCAGTCAATGTGAAGAACACCAGCAAATGTGCAATGAGTCAGAAAGGAGAAGACAGAGTGAAAGTGGCCAAAAATATTTGGAGGGATGACAAAAGCTTTCAAGAAGCAATGAAACACATTCATCTTTAGAGGAAAAAATTGAAAGAGCTTATTTAGGACAAACACAATGATACACATAACTATACATACTATGATTAAAATGCTGTACCAATGACAAGGAGAAAATCTCAAATGTATCAAACATAAAACGACTCTCTGTATACAGAAATACAGTGATAAAATCATCAGCTAACTTTTCATCATGCCCAAAGGAGGCTAGAAAACAGTGGAATGACATATTTAAATGCTGGAAAACAAAAAAAAAAACAAGACCAAGGATTCAATATCCACTGAAAGTATGCATTCAAAATAAAGGTAAAAGAAAAACATTTCGTGATAAACAAAAATGAAGAGAAATGATTACTTAAGGACGCGTTCTTTAGAAATTCTCTAGGAAATTCTTCAGATTCACAAAAAATAACAGCAGACAGTAACTTGAATCCATAGGGAGGAAGGAAGGTCTCAAAAGTACTAGGGGAACAAAAACAAAAAAAGAGCTAGACCAAAGAAACATGTTTACTTCCATTCATATAAGGTTTCACGTAGAGAAATCCAATCTATCTGGATAGACGTCAGAATGCCAGTTTCCTTCACTGGGATTGGGAAACGGCTGTTCCCTGAAAGGTATGTACATGAGGGAAGAATCTGGAGATTCTGAAGTATTCTACAGTTTAATCTGGGTGAAGAATATATATAAAACTTTATTCATTTGTATTATTTAACATTTCTGTCCTTTATTGTGTGTGTGTTTTATTTCAATTTTTAAAAAATTGAAAGGGCCAAATCTGAACTCTTTTAAACAAAAATGAACAAAAATATAAGAATTAGTAAATATTTGTGAAAACTCGGCCTTATTAACAAGAAGTATAAAATGTGCCTGGGAAAGTGCTGTGAAACAAGAAATCTGTTAGAGAAGACAAAAGGAAATACTTCAATTTCTCTCACATGGGCAGCATAGATTTTACGCCTGTTGGTTTTCCTCTCAACAGAGAAGATATTTTGGACAGAGAAGTCATTTTGCTCACAAGAGAGGCTCCCACCCTCCCCTTGGCTCTTTCCACCCCACCACACCCACCAGGTGATTTGCATATTGTGCCCTAGGGAGGACCTTCCCTTGGGAGTCTGAGATAAAAGCTCAGCTCTAAGCTTGTCTTGACTGCTCAGGACTCCACAGTTCACCATGAGGCTCCCTGCTCAGCTCCTGGGGCTGCTAATGCTCTGCGTCCCCGGTAAGGGCAGTAGGCAGATGGGGGAGGAGAATGGGGTGGAACGGTGAGCTCTGGGGGTCCCACAGCCTCCTATGAGCAGTGAGCTCTGGGGGCCTCACTACACTCCTATGTGTGTTCCTTTCATGTACTGCACGTGCACATCTTGTCCTCCAGGATGGGGCTTGTGATGTTCAGATCTGTGAGAGTGAGGAAGATTCAAGAAGAAACAAGGATCTGTGCTCTGGGGAAGACTGACACAGAAAGAGGGGATGGTGTGGGGTCTTCTGGAGACCACTTTGAGCCATGGATTCCTAGAGTTTCATTTTGAAATTTTATATTCTTGAAATATGAACAAATAAATATATAGCCTGAAACAAACAACAATTCAAAATTTATGAAAATGATGCATAAAGTATCTACATAACGTTGCTCTTCTTTGTATTTATTTCAGGATCCAGTGGGGATGTTGTGATGACTCAGTCTCCACTCTCCCTGCCCGTCACCCCTGGGCAGCCGGCCTCCATCTCCTGCAGGTCTAGTCAAAGCCTTGTACACAGTAATGGAAACACCTACTTGAATTGGTTTCAGCAGAAGCCAGGCCAACCTCCAAGGCTCCTAATATATAAGGTTTCTAACCGGTACTCTGGGGTCCCAGACAGATTCAGCGGCAGTGGCGCAGGGACAGATTTCACACTGAAAATCAGCAGAGTGGAGGCTGAGGATGTCGGGATTTATTACTGCATGCAAAGTATACATCTTCCTCCCACAGTGGTACAGCCCTGAACAAAAACCTCCCTATGGGGTGGCCCAGCTGCCCACATGTGGTGCTTGACTGGGGAGCAGCTCGACAGGGTCTCAGAATCTGTGTAAGAGGAAGATGCTGGAGAAGCAGGGGACAATTCACAGCTGAGGACTCTGGACTTTGAGAGCCCAGCCACACCGCAGGCACCACTCCTTTATGCCCTGGCAGTTGCCACAACCTTTACAGTCATAAGTAGCAGGAGAATGAGGG